AAGGAAGGCGAAATCAAAATCATTTTTATGGATCCTATTATTTGTGGTGCTGATCCTATTTTTATTTACTAAACGATCTTTTAGCCCTTTGCTTAAAACTTTTAGCTGTTCTGAACTTAAAATCACTTTGGAAAGATTTAAAATACCCTCACTACTAATCACATCTTTAGTTGGAGATAAAGAGGATTTTAAAAAGGGTATACAAAGAAAGTGGAAGAAAAATAATACATTTATGGTCCCCCAGGGTAGAAATACAAGGAGTAATGGACCCCAAAAGTACAATAAGGTAGTTAGGAAACAATATGAGACCTATACCACCTCTGGAGAATCTAAAACGGTCAGGAATAAATATGTAGCAAACAATTCCCCAAGAAAATTTAAGGTAGCTGAAGATAACAATAGAGTAGTAAGAAGGAAAGAAACTAAAGCCAATACTACCACTAGAAAAACCATAGAAAATTCTAATCAGCAAAAAGTTTTTTAGAGGACCGACCGAGAGGCTCCCATCCAAGAAATCAGAATATATGGTCCCACAGGAACAGGTTTTCTCCTCTACAGACTGTCCAAACACCTCTGAAGAAGAGAAAACTTTTGGGAGCCACTGGAGGACTAGGGGAGGAAATAAACAAATAATTAAATTCATCTTTTTCCAAATACCCTTTTCGTAACCTTCATTCAAGATACCATGTAACTCCTTCTTGAAGTCACATGTAGGATTACTTTTTAGGATTTTATAGGTATTGGAGTCACTCAATATTCTTATGGACTCTTTCATATAGTCTTCCCTATTTAATACCACAATACTCCCTCCTTTGTCCGCCTGCCTACTGACTATCTCTCTATTGTCTTTTAACTGATTAAGGGCTATTTTCTCTCTTTCTCTATTTTCTCTTTCCTTGTATTTCTACCCTGGGGGACCATAAATGTATTATTTTTCTTCCACTTTCTTTGTATACCCTTTTTATAATCCTCTTTATCTCCAACTAAAGATGTGATTAGTAGTGAGGGTATTTTAAATCTTTCCAAAGTGATTTTAAGTTCAGAGCAGCTAAAAGTTTTAAGAAAAGGGCTAAAAGATATTTTAGTAAATAAAAATAGGATCAGCACCACAAATAATAGGATCCATAAAAATGATTTTGATTTCGCCTTCCTTACTAAATATAATGGTAAGGCGAATTTAATAGAGAGATCAATTTGAAAGAACTGGCCTATTTTATTACAAGATCAATATCTTAAGAAGATCTTACCTCTCAAACCGAAAGTATTATATAAAAGAACTAATAATTCAAAAGGCATTTTGGCCCCCAGTTTATTACCTAAGGAGAAGGGAGAGATTTTTATCAAAAAAACCCAAAGGATTTTTTAAATGTGGTAGGTGTAGTACCTGTAGGTTTCAGACATACAAAACTACAGAATTTAAGAGCACCATTACAAAGAAGGTTTTTAAAATAAAACATTTTATAAATTGTCAAAGTAAAAATGTTGTATATTTATTACAATGCAAGTGTGGTGTTCAGTACGTAGGACGCACCATTAGAAAATTACATGTCAGATTACTTGCACATTTTAATGGAATTAATAACAAAAATCTGAAACATAGTGTTCCCAAACATTGTACAACTTGTAATGTTTTTAATTGGAAAGATTTTTTATGTATTGGTTTTAATTTAATCATACCACATTGGAGAGGGGGTGACACTGAAAAAGCATTAGCAATGAGGGAGACCGAATGGATATATAAAATGAAGTCCACGGTCCCCTTTGGCCTGAATACGGATCTTGACATACTTGCTTTTATGGATTAATTTTTTTATATGTTTTTTGTTCTTTCTTCCTCATTATAAAAGAGAAAATTTCTGGACTCTATGGAACTATTCTTCTCATGTCAGTTTATATATGTTGTGACAATATAAATATATGGATTATTCTTCTCATGTCAGTTTATATATATTGTGACAATATGACCAGTTTTAGCTCTCATATTATTTATTTGAAGTGCCCACACTCTATGGACGTTCGCTCACTGTATACCTTGTATTTTATATGTTATACATACCAATTTTATATGTTATACACACCAATTCCCCTATGTATCTTTTTATCATTATTCATAGGGTAGCTTTCTATGTTAGTTTTAGCAATATATTTATGTAATTTTATGCATAAGTTTAGTATGCAAATAGCCTGTGCATATTTTTTATACATTATATATATATATATATTTTATGTATATTTGTTTTCACATTTTTTCATATCCATTTATATGTATATATATCCTTTCTTTAAAAGATGGATTTTCTTGGCTATTTTTAACATTTATTTGGCTATATTTAGCCATTTACTTTTCAGTCTAATTTGCATGATTATTAGGTTGTGAACTCATGTAAGGAATTCCAGATTTGTATATAGGCAGGTCTGTGAATACAGATCGCATTAATTCCGAGCGTTCTGAGGAAGTCGACATCGACAAAACGCGTTGAGCATCTACTAGAGCCTCATATTTGGTATAGCAGTCTCATGTTTACATGTACTCTTTGTTGCAGTATCTATCTGGTGCTAGTTTTTGGTGTATGTTAGTGTTATTTGTATCTTGCACTTTTTGCACTTAAGCATTTTACTGTTGGAGTCATTGTATATAAGCTGCTACCCCTAGAGGCTCATATATAGATATATATATATATATATATCTTATTTTGCTTTTTATCATTGTTGCTCTATTTATTGCACTTTTATATACAATAAAGTGGATTTTGTCCTTCCACCTTATATTTTCTATTCCATGTGATTTTTACATTTTTATAGTGGTTGTGGTGCCCTGTTGTCTGGAGTAGTGTCCAGATATTGTTTGCATTTTATTGGTTAAAGACTGGGGTAAAGGTACAGAAGGGAAGAAAGGGAGGCTGGGGGTTTTACAGCATCCACATTCAATATTCTCACACCGTACTTTATATAAGTTCATATAGCTTCAAGCCTTATATACACAAAGTATAGCCACATTTCACATGTGAATAAGTTAAATAGCCTTTTAGTACAGTTTGACAGACATCGCATAAAAGGACCAAATATATTATGTTTGCATATTCGTGGCTTTACCCAGGGGTCAAGTCCACCTTCTCCCACTAAAAAAAATTATACGCTCATATGCATATATATAGCTGGGTGAAGTGGTGACAGTGTGTTTAGGCTGAAAGTAATTGGGGGTGGTGATATTGTATGGAGGGTGTGACAGAACCATCTGTCTGTGAACTACTTCTATTCCCCTTGGTTTCGTCTGTTTGTTCGGGTAATTACCTGACCGTACCCCACCTCCTTTCGTTTATTTCCTTAACTCCCAAATAAACTGCCGAACAGCCGGCCACCCAGAATGGAAGTGTGCTGTTGGTTAACCTCTTGGCCCCATTCAAACGTTGTGGTTAACCGCAGACACCTCTTAATTGTCAAAGGGAAGCTGGGTGGTCGTCGTTCGTATGCCGACCATGAGGCGGCGGCCATGCCCAGCGGTGTTCGTCAACGATTCACTGGAACTAAAAACGGACACTATTTCTCACGAACACCGCTGAAGCCACCGACCTTCCTTCTCCATCATCCGGCATATGAACACCGGCCCGTTCGGTACTTTTCCTGCATAAATGGACTTAACCCAGATGGCTATGCCAGGGAGCCCATTTGTATACCGAAAGACTATGTGAAAGACTTTGGCTCCATGGCGATTGAACTGTATGTATGTGATCTGAGCGCCATTCACTAATAATGTGCGCTCAGATCTAAGCTATCTGGGGATACGTTAATTGTACCTAGTGCATTCGGTATTTTTCCTGTTATACGTTTTTGTGTGTTTTTACTATTACATGTAAAATGGTGATTTGCCTCTATCCTTGGAGATAATTGGATTACTTCCCCAATTATCTCCAGGATAGGGAGGAGGGTCATTTCAGTTAAAGGGGAGTGTTTATGTCTGAGCCACTGTGATTGACTACTGTACTTTTACTGTCCCAGTCTTCCATCTGGTCCCCTAGGGGAGTGTCCACCAGGTGGGAGATATGCATAAATACCGGGCACGTAGCACACATCAAATCAGATCTCTGCTTAACCCTCAATTATGGAGCTTGGTCTCGTACTTGGGGTTATTGGATTCGTATGGTTTACTTGTTCGGTTGTTTGATACGTGAGGGATTCGTATGGTTTACTCATTCGGCTGTTTGATACGTGAAGGATTTTCGTATGGTTACTGTTCGGCTGATTGGTGCTTTTGTTAGATGCCTCTCCATTCGTAAGGTGAACGTCCTCAGCGGTATTAACCCCTTTTATACTTGGGTATACCGTAACAGAGGGGGTGTCAGTGTGTGTATGGGGATGACAGTGTGTGTGTGTGGGTGACAGTGTGTGTGGGTGACAGTGTGTGTGTGTGGGAGGGTGACAGGGTGCGTGTATGGGGGGGAGTGACAGGGTCTGTGTGTGGAGAGCTGACAGGGTGCATGTATGGGGTAGTGACAGGGTGTGTGTGTGTGGAGAGGTGACAGGGTATGTGAGGTGGCTGTGACAGGGTGTGTGGGGGGGCTGTGATGATGTGTGTGGAGACAGGGTAGGAAGGCGGTGTGACGGTGTGTGAAAAGGTTTAGGTAGGGGGGCTGTGAGTGGGTGAAGGGCTGTGAGAAGGTATGGGGCCGTGAGAGGGTAGGGGGCTGTGAGAGGGTAGGAGTCTGTGTGGTGGGTAGAGGGGTTTTAAGGTTGGTAGGGGGCTGTGAGTGGTTAGGGGGGCTATGAGGTGGGTAGGGAGACTGTGAGGTGGGTAGTGTGGCTGTGAGGTGGGTAGTGTGGCTGTGAGGTAGGTAGGGGGGCCTGTTAGTGGGTAGGGGGGTCTGTATGGTGTGTAGGGGGACTGTGAGTGGGTAGGTGTTCTGTTAGGTGGGTAGGGGGACTGAGTGGGTAGGGGGGCTGTGAAGTGGGTAAGGGTTTGTAAGGTGGGTAGATGGGTTTTAAGGTTGGTAGGGGGCTGTTAGTGGGTAGGGGGACTGTGAGATGGGTAGGGAGACACCTTACAGAACACCTACCCACTCACAGTCCCCCTACCCACCTTACAATCCCCCTACCCACCATACAGACCCCCTGCCCACTAACAGACCCCCCTACCCACCTCACAGTCCCCCTACCCACCTTACAACCCCCCTACCCACTTTACAGCCCCCTACCCACTCAGTCCCCCTACCCACCTTACAGGAAACCTACCCACTCACAGTCCCACTACCAACCTAAACCCCTCTACCCACCTTACAATCCCCCTACCCACCTCACAGAACACCTACCTACTCACAGTCCCCCTACCCACCTTACAACCCCTCTAACCACCTTACAACCCCCCTACCCACCATACAGCCCCCCTACCCACCTCCCACAGTCCCCCCTACCCGTGCACAGTCCCCCTACCATGTCACAGCCCCTATCCACTCCACTGTCCTTCTACCACTCCCACACAGCCCCCCTACCCCCACCTCCCACAGTCCCCCCTACCATGTCCCACAGCCCCCCTATCCACTCACTGTCCACCCTACCCACTCACGACCCCCTACCCACCTCACGGTCCCACCCTACCCTCAGTCCCCTACCCATTTCAATCCCCCCCTACCCACCCCTACCCACCTTACAGAACACCTACCACTCACAGTCCCCCTACCCACCTTACCTTCCCTACCACATCATAAGACCCCACCACCGCCCCCACTAAAAGAGACCCCCCTACCCCCTCACAGCCCCTACCCACCTTACACCCCCTACCCATCCTAAGACCCCCTACCCACCATACAAACCCCTACCCACTAACAGAACCCCTACCCCCTCACAGCCCCCCCTACCCACCTCACAGACCCCTATCCACTCACAGTCCCCCTACCCACCTCACAGTCACCCTACCCACTCACAGCCCCTCACCCTCTCACAGTCCCCCTACCCTCTCACAGCCTCCTACCCTCTCACTGTCTTCCTACCCAAGCCTTGTCACAGTCATCCCCACCCTGTCTCCCCACACACCGTCACAGCCCCCCCACAAACCCTATCACCTCTCCACACACACACCCTGTCACTCCCCCCATACACGCACCCTGTCACCCTCCCACACACACGCACTGTCACCCACACACACACACACACACTCTATCATCCCCTCCATACAATATCACCATCCCCAATTACTTTCAGCCTCCACACACTGTCACCCCTTCACCCAGCTATATATATGCATATGAGCGTATAATTTTTAGAGGGGGGGAGTGGATCTTGGGTGAGTTTCCACACTTTTTCCCCAGAACCTGACCCCTGGACACACAGATACACACCCTGAAATATATACACAGATGCACACTCTGACCCTCAAATGCATACACACACACACATACACACACACACTAACATTTAAACTCCTTGACATATAGATGCACACACACATACAAGGACATACAATGACATACTCACACCTTGACATACACTCAATCTGACATACATATAAATGTTATAATTTTTATATTTGTAGCCACCGTCCTGTTAGCATACCCTTTGTGTCCAAGAGGGTGGCTTGTTTCCTGATGGCTGAGGTTGATGGTAGTGTGGTATCAGGAGCAATTCACTTCTTGCTCCTCTGCTCTCCAGCTGAATGTTTGTGCTGCTGCCTCCTCTTCTCTCCCACGCAGCTCTCTATCTGTAGCTGGGAGAAAGTGATTGGCTGAGGAGAAATTATTAGCCCTAAAATTATGGTTTTGACAGTTTAAAAGGACTTTGTGACATCATAAATAATGTCAATGCAAGATGGCCACCATTGACCTATTCTGTGTGCCTCTTTCAGTCTGCATGTGCGCATTTGAGCAGACTGAATGGCAAAAACAGGGGGAAAAAAAGAGGTTATAAAAACCTTGAATGTCATTCAGCTTTTAAACTTACACATGAAATTTGGACCGAATTCGATTAAATCAGAAAGTTAAACATAAAAAATAGTGAATGAAGACAGAAAAAACTGTGAAATGAATGGAAAAAGGAGGCGAATACTCTAAGGATGGCTTCCAGGTATCACTAGCTCACCATGGAAGTTCAGACAGGTAACTTCAGGTGCTGGGTGGGGGGGTATAAACATTAATTTTCCAAAACACCTAGAATACTCTGAATCTATTTTTTTTTCTTGCAAACCACTTAGGGGTTTAAGGTAAGTTCTAATTGAAATGGCTTTCAGTTGGGCAAAAAAATAAATACAACTTTGTGGCTATGATTACATTTATCTATTAATGTTTCATGCTGCTGGTATAGACTTTAGTACTTACATCAATTTTAATTATTTGAGAATTTACACATCAGCTAAATCCTTCTATAACAGATGAAGGGTGTGGTTAAAAAAAAATAGTTTTACTGCACCTTATCCTGCTTAACCGTCATTTAGCTGCAGATTGGAATTCCCGAGACAGAACATATGATACTTGCAGGTATTCTACAGTACAAGTATTTTTTGAAGTGATTATTCTTCTAGGTATATTATATTTATACTATATAACAGAATGTTCTAATGTTGCAGGCTTCCAGAATTTAGATTATAATTTTAATTAATGGTGAAGGAATTGTAAATCTAAAGCACTGTAACCAGTAACATTTTAGTTATTCTATTGTGTTTACATTACCAAAGTGTGCATTGCGATGAACTGAAAACTTTGGGTTCAGAAAAATAGATTGCTTTGAAATTGCAAGTATTAAATTGTCAGTAATAATAATAAAAATAATAATAATAATAACATATGGTTTAACTTTACACTCATTAAATTAGTCAAAGAACTCAAGTTGGTTAAGGGGAACTGTCAAAAGAGAGCAGTAGAAACCTGTAATGTGGTGATGTTTGAATTGTTTAACCCCTTAAGGACCAAACTTCTGTAATAAAAGGGAATCATGACATGTCACACATGTCATGTTTCCTTAAGAGGTTAATGCCTAAAAAAAAAAAAAGGAATTAAACAACATCAGATCACCTTATAGGCATTATGTGTTATTAATTTAAGTGAGAATATAAATGTAATTCAAAGTATATTTAATGTAAGGTCAAAATAGCCAAACTGGAAAAATTCTCAAAGTCAGCTACACCTTCAGTTCAGTTACTCTGACCTTAAATTTGAAATTCACTTTCAAATCAGTTTGAATTCTTATTTAAGTAAATAACCAGGTGATTATTGTAAAGGTAAAATAGTTTTGTTCAAAGGTTGCAAAACCATGCAAGGATCTTTGAAGACTTGGAACTAGACTACCTTTTTACATGCCTTTCCAGTTAAAAGCATATTGGCTGATCCTTATTCCATTTTTTTTTTAGTTATACTAAATATTTAGAATTTGATTGAATGTGCTGAGATAGCCACCTCCATCTTTTTCTATATAGTTCTTAACTGTCATACGTGATATATTTGATATGACATAAGAACAATCAAATTTTAAGGATCCTTTCTCTCATTTTGAAAATAAACAAAGCAGTCTTGTTCTTAAAAATAAAAAAGTGTCTTTCATATTGTAAAATCTGGTTGGAATCGTCACTGTTAAATCTTCTTAATTTCTTCTTGTCTTCAGTTGATTGATATATATACGTCTTTTGTATATATAGTCTTGGGCCAAATGCTCGCCACAATAATATATGTCTATATTATTGAAAAGTACTAATACACAATCTGACTTACGGTTTCTTCAGGTTTATTCTTAGTTACTGATACATAATAAAACAATAAAGGATGTCACAGGATAATGGACATTCAACAGCAGATGGTAATTGCTGGACTTCTGACGGGAGAGTTACATCCTTACATCTTACATAGAGAGAGAGCAAGCCAAGAGACCTTGTGTCTCTTTGTTCTGTTACTATATAAAAGTGTCCATACTGATGTCAGACTATAACTCTAGCCAAATAAGGACAAGACCCCCAAATCCACATTCCAGAGCTCTCGGACAAAGAAAGCATTGTGACTTATACCATCTGTTACTTATGTCAATCCACACATCCATATATAATCAATAGAAACATCGAATATGCAATATTCTACACATATAGCCACAACAATTGATCATTTAATTTCATATTTTTGGCATTTGAGAGATAGATAACTGGGGGTAAATGAATGCACAACTTTTGACTTATTCATCTCTTGAGCACGATTGCGGTCACAATATTGTTTTTAAACTGGTCATTATTCATTAATAGTGAAGTCCCGAATGGTTCGCCGAACGGTTCGCGAACGGTTCGTCACAAACGGTTCGCAGCGTACCTCACAGTCAGCAGACACATTCCAGCCAATCAGCAGCAGACCCTCCTTCCCAGACCTCCTGGATAGCTCACTAAGAATGCAGCTTCAAAATGGATGCTGGGAGGAAGTGAGAGACAGTCAGTTCCTTCCAGCTGACATAGAACCTGCAGTGTGGCAGGGGCAGGCACCAGCTGCAATGGGAGATGATTGGGAGAGGAGTAAGCTCCTAACTCCCAACAGCTGAAATGATGACCTGTATGTGTGTTTTGGTTGTCTGCCCTTAAAAGGGCTTTTCAAAGAGTTATGGCACTAGATAGAGCAGCATGTCTAAGCACCACAAAATCCAAACTCACTGAGCGAACGATACAATGCATTGGAACATTTGTTCCACAATGGAACCTATAAAAGAGATTTTCTCTCGCAATTGTCCGTTTTGAAACACGACAGGGACATCGAACCAGATAGAATACCTCATCCTAATATAACAGCTAGAAGATCAAAAAACCTAAGAGAAATTTTGGTACATAGCTAAACAAAACATGACAAAACAAAAATACCCTCCCAAATGTGGTTGACTAAAACAAAGGGTATTTTTAAGTGTGGACATTGCAAAGCCTGTAGCTTTATAAAACCTTCTAAAACAATAAAATGTACTAGGACATGAAAAATATTTGAAATCAACAACTTTATAAATTGCAGCTCCATACGGGTAATTTATGTAATTACATGCAGCTGCAGACTTCAATATGTTGGCAAAACTTACCAACAATTTCACAGACGAGGATTACAGCATGTTAACTCTGTTAAGAACATCAATATCATTACCCCTGTAGCAA